CGGTGTCTGACGTAACAATCCCGTGCCAATAAGTAAATGAAAAAAGCACGGGTTGTCACATAAGACCCGTGCAATAATTGATAATGATTGTCGAGAAAATATCACGAAAGTATTTGACTTACAATGTAACTTGTACTAATCCCAAAACAAAATCAAGCAATACCAAATTTACAGTAAAAATATATATACTGTACAATAATTTTATTTCTTCTGCAAAGCTTTATTAGTTTCACCTTTATTTCTCAAATTAGCTCGAGTCAAAAGAGTGAATCTTATTTAACTAGTAACTGATACAAGATTTGATATTATTAATGAACTAATCAATAAGCAAAGAAGCAAAGTCTAAACCTAATGATAATTGTCAGGAGAGCAATTTTATTTATAATCCTTACCCGACTCTTAACATTAAAAAATTCTGACCCTGTGCTTCGCTTTAAAAGCTAAACATGGTAATTTGGTTGTTGCTTATAAGTTTATTTTATAGATTCTTAATTTTGTTATACCTTTTAATTTCTAATTCAAGCTGAATATTTACTTACCATATTATCGCAAAATAATGTTATTTCGGGATTCGTGAGCTAAGAATTAATCTAGCCAAAGGTTTTCAGCTAAAGTAGTAATCCGTTGATTTTTTTTTGTTGATCAATTTTATTATGGAATTCTTAGGATTTCCAATGTAGAAAACAATCTAAAATACGGACAAGATCAAGACTAAACTTTTGTGGAAACCGAAATAAAATCGATTAATAAACCAAGTCAATATATTTTTCGGCTGTTTATAAATATAGCCTATATCACATATTTGCATCCGATATTTTATACTCTATTGACGTAATAAGCCTGTACTCGTAATTAGGTCAAAATTTCATTATTTTTTTTTGAGATTTGTGTCTTCGAAACCTTTCATCTTATTAGTAATGTTAATACATTAGTCATGTTCGTTGGTTAATATTAACATTTAACGATGAATTATTATTATTGAAATAAGCCGTTTTCTATAACCATTAACTTCAATAAAGTAAGTCACACCGGGTACTGTATACAGAGCTCTATGTGATAGTGAAAGAAGTTTGAATTTAACTGCTATTAATACAATTATTTCGTCACTAATTTGTTTCAAAATTGTATGACGTATAACAAAAATTAATTGCAATTAATTTTTCGGTGGGCCTGTTTAATTTCACTGTTTGTGTCTATTATGATTCTTATATTTCTTACACTGTACAAAATTAACTAATTGTTTAAACGAAGACCTGAATCAAATTTTAACTCAATAGAAGATTTAGAATTAGCAACTTCAAACAAAGATATTGTTTTGCCGACTGCATGAGACATTAAAGATAAATCATCGTCTATAAGGTAAATTCAAATGGACTTAAAGTGAAATACATGGGTAATATGAAATGTATATAGATGTTATATACTTTGATCTTCAATGTCATTATTCTATGTTGTCCAATTTTTCTCCCAATAATCAAACATTACTTGTGCTCCCCTTTGATCTAAAAAGGCTTGGCGTAGATTATCTTGTAACGTAATGTTTAGGAATGCTGATATCAATATTTTAACAAGGTTCACATCGGTAGACGTTTCTAAACTACAGTATATTGATTGTTAGGAACTATGCAAACATGTTTGGCGTAACAATGTCAAACCAGTTTTAATATAAGTTTGCACAGATCGGGCAGTGACCTTTGTGTCGATCACTGTCGTATTTGGTTAGGCCACTCCAAATAAAAAAAGTATTTCATAAAAGAGGAGGGGGCATTAAACAACACAAAAATACTGTAATTCTATTGCTATAAAAATATAAAAATGGCTATAAAAAAATATAAAAGTTTAAAAAAGCTAATACTGTAATTTGATTGGTTAATATGGCGTTGATTTTTTATGTAAATTTTTAAAAAATAGAGGGGAGGGTTATGTTAAACATAAATTAACTTGGAGCGGCCTTTTCACGCATAAATAATTTCAATTCACTCAATTGTTATACCCGATATCATTCTGGTCAAACAATCGTCTCACATTGTTAGTGCAAAGAAACCATGGTGTCTATTCTTCGGCATTAAAAGTTCCTTCTTTAAAAGTTTGACAGTAGTTAAATAGTAACCAAAATTATTTGCATATTAGTGACACACCCTAGTCCGGATCAGTTGGTTAGATATACCTAACACCTGCTAATACTACTAACCAACTGATCTATATCGTGGCACGTCACCGATTTGCTCAATTATAATTTTAACCAATGCTTAAAATCTATAAGAAGGGTCTTCCAATGCTAAAAAATAGACAACCTTTCAATTCCAAGTTAAAGTTATGACTTCTTTGCATTAAAGCAAAGGTCTGGTGCATTTTTGACACAACTTTACATATGAAATTTAGGTATGACAATCGTTTGATCATAATAAATTTATCCATATAACTGATAATAAATTCATACCAGTAACGACACGTGTCAACTAAAAACGGCATCAAAGCTATAGTTTCTTTTTCTAATGAGCTTTCTTCGGCGAGCCATGCGGAAAGAACGCGAATACTAGCTGTGATTTTCTCGTCTTTCATAGCAGATTTAATAGAAACTCCTCTCTCCTATGAAGAGTTAGTGCATATTAAATTTGGGATCGAAATAATATAATTCAAAAATAATGTTGAATAAAACAATACTTTAACATCTATTAAATATTCAATTATGGCTCGAAATGTTTCAATCATAGTACCCTTTAATCGTAGTAAAACATCAGGCTCTAATTTTACTCGGGCAGTTTCTACTTTTTCCTGTGGCTCAAGTAAATTTTCGATGTGTGATAGATATTCAATCGATTTTTCTAAAATAGTATAGCATGCCGGTAGCATCACTTTAAGACGTTCGTTAAGTTGATCATTCTTTTTTTCTTGTTCTAACTCATCCAACATCAACCGTATTTCAACGCATGATAATTGTACCACTAACACTGAAAATTTAAATTCATTATCAATATCTTCTGCTGCACTATTTGAGATCTGGGTCAAAGTAAGATTCGATGTAATAGGTGCAAATAATGAAATAGCATCAAAATGGTAAAGAAGTAGCATGACAAGTGACAGTGCCTTATCACGTTGTTCACTCCCTAGAATCAATAAGTGATTTTAAATTAATCCAAATATTAATAAATTAAGTTTTTAAAGTCAATTTTACGTCAATTTACCTAATTTATTACTTAAAATTTCCAACAAACTATGCCTAAAGTTTTGAATAAAAATGCTAGTTTGTGACTCATAATTAATTAAAAAATCTTGAACAAACTGTTATTTAAAAAATAATAGAGTTAGGTATTATAAAAAATTGCCTACAAAATTATGTAGTTTATTAAGTTTATTAAAAACTTGTCTGATCTGGCAATTGCGTAAATATATGAACAAAAAATTGAAGTAAATTAAATTTAAGTTTGTTTTGATTTATTCGAAATGTATCGGACAGTTGTTTGAATACTGTAAATATATATCCTTGAATAATTATTCCAGAACTAGAAATTTGCTGATCCTGTGAAATTGATTTAATTACGCCGACAGTGGTGTAATAAATTACATTTAGAGCAAGTTCCTGTATTTCAACTGTAAACTAAGTTAATAAAATATTAAAACAATGATTCAAGGAAGAATTTTAGCTAAAAATATTAACCATTCGTAAAAGACGTTATACATCGCAAAATCTTTGAAGTAACTTTGTCATCTATAATGTAAGTCAACTCTTGATTTGCGGACGATAATCTAAGAAATATCCCTAGGATATCTCGCGTCAATTTTTCATTACTAAATAATTGACGCGAAAATTAGACATATATATTCACTACTAAACTTAAATTATGAATGGTTTAACTACGTACTCTGGAGATATAAGAGACGCGAGAGTTGGAATACGTGCATGAATCTGTTTTTTATTTAAAAGTTCGTAGAGTGCGCCAAAGCAAGATAATATATTAACAGCTATTGATTTTAAAGTAAAATCTGGTTGATTATCGTCATTTACACTCCCTAATTACAGTATAAAAGATCGCATAAGGTAAGTTTGGAGATTTTTATAATAATTAAGTATTATGAAATAATGAATACCAGTTCTCATTAAGCGCTCCAAAAACTTAAAATCCATCGCGTCAAAAATAAGTAACACATTTTCTCTATCTTGTTTCAAAAGTCTTGGTAAAAGAGTAAACGCGACAAATTTGGCATCATCCGATGAAGATGGATTCAATAATTCTATGCATCGATCAATTTCACTTTGGTGTTCTTGAAGATTTGACATTTTTCGTTTTATCAAACTTATCGTTATCGTTATCGACACCCAATTTTGTCACGACAGATTCTCGATTTTGATTGGCCAACGTCTGTGATCGTAATCTTAAATAAAAAATGTTTGGGAAATAGCCCAGGAATACTTTTCACGAGATATAATTTACGTCAAAAAACTGGTCCGATCTAAATACAGTCAACTCTCGCTAAATAAGCTTATTGAGAAAATAGCCTCAAAAAGTTCGGTTTACAAATGCAAATATCTAATCCGAACTTTATAATAAAATGAGGTAATTCGTGATTAAAAGTAAATTTTAGTATAGTAATGTAGCTGTCTTACATATAAAAGTTTCTTTTTTTACTAACCCTTTTAAACTTCTAATTAAAGTTGTAGAGTTCATTGAGACGATTCTAATGGTAATAAAATCGGCCTGGCAGGCCACAAGATATGAATATTTTTGATTTTTTACTATATGTTTTTTCTCGAAACTTCTGGCATTCCACCTCTATCACCTCTATATAAACTAATAGTAAAAATTGCCGCATTTAACTATAAAATTTTTGATCTTTAACTGCGGATTCCTTTAAAATTTTAAAGTCGATTTAGAAAAAGTTTAAGTGATCGGTTTAGCCAGGGAAAGTTGACTATTTAGATCCTCCGGAGTATATGATATTCTTTATATATCGTTTTCTATTATAAGAATCACAAGTAAATTTTCACGATAAACATCCCTGCTATAATTCTGTAATTATGGCCAATTATTCACAACTAGTTTGCTGACAACACGGAGCCTAATATTTGTGTTCATACACTCTGTAGTTCTTAACTAAAACCCTTTTATGTGATCATTAATTCCCTTATTTCGATATCTATTTTAGTGGCAAAAACCAGTTCAGAACAATTCTAAAGAAATTTTATTTATAGAATGTATTTATAAAGAAAAATAAAAAAAAGAAAACAAACAATAATGGATATAAAGGGTCGAAGAGAAGGAAAAAAGTTACAGATAAAAAATAAGTAAATAATTGAAGAAGAAGAAAGAAATTATAAAACAGATATAACTAATAAATCTATTAAAAATAAATTTTTTAATATCGGCAATTACATCTTGCCTGTCGGTAAGAATTATACTATATCATGTGCTGATTTTTCTCACCGCATCCCTGGCACCTTTCGGTATTACTATAATACCGACTGTATAGTAAGAAAAACTTCCTAGTGTCCCACTGAGTTCGTCAACTACTGACCAGTCTATTTAATGTAAATTCATAATTATTTGTTATTTTGTTTTATAGATTAATGTTTAAACCACTGTAGATCAAAATTCAGACCTATGTCTCTCCCCCAATTTTTACCTTGAAACTTCAGTGGGATGCCTAGATATTTGGCCATTATGTCGATGCCATTGTCATTGCATGCTCTATCCTATCCTAACCAACTATATTAAGTTAGGTCTAGTTTTCACTCTTTTTTTTGATTTTTACCTAGTGAACGGCGGAAGAGAGACAAACTTTTGTGGGCAAAGTTTAGCAGTATGGTTGTCAGATTTCTATATTCTCCGGGGATAGAGGTATAGTCTTGTGCATAAGCGCACCTTTACAATAATCTCCATGGGTGTCACCTGCTACATGGGATGCCGCGATATCTAAAAAAGGCAGAAATCACTGTCCAGCAACCTTCCGGGGCAATATCGGTCTCTTATATATATATTTTTTAAAAAAAAACTCCGTATGAGTTTTTATGCAAAATAACATATGGGCTGCCATCAATAGAAATGACAGCACCCTCTATAATAATAAATAGTTATGAATAATGTGTTTTTCGTTTACAACTATGAAGAACATTTGATTATCAAAAAAATCAGCCACGAATCTTAGTTTTATATCCTATTCAACATTAATTCCTGTATTGCCGAAACTACACAATGAACACAATCAACTTAGTGAAAACTCACCTAGTATATTTACACTTTTCTTCAAAATCACAGCAATATCTAACTCAAAGTACTCCTTACAGACGACGAGCTTTTGTAAACGATGATAACATCAAAATTGCCGATGTTTTTTTTTTTTTTGAATAATTAAAGTTTCACTAGTAAAAAAACAAAAAAAAAAATCACATTCATCTTAAATATTAGATCTCACTTGAAAAATTTTTACATCCTTACCATATTTGCGTGTAATGACACACGTGGGCGTTATTTTGAACCCCGTTTTTTTGAAATTTCTCGAATTTTTATTAATAAAAAGGGCTTCCTCTTGTAATCCAAATTTGTCAAAATGATTCGAATGCATGCGCGTCCCGAAATAATGCGAAGGGTCTCAAAATAATGCACATGTGCGTGTTATTACGCGCAAGAAAAACTGGTAAATGTAAAAAAACACGTGCAAAAATTACTTAAATTGACTTAAATCAGGGGCACGAAAATTATATGATTTAGGTCACTCTTAAGCGTGGAAAATATTAAGCGTGTTTATCATTACGATGAATATGCGTAAATTAATAAAGATTTTTTTATTAGTAAAAGACATTAAATGAATTTTTCATTTCAATCAACAACCTTTTTACAACAGACCACTTTTTTTTTATACCTGCCTTTGAAAATTTTACGATCAATAGAGTATTCAAAGAGTATTCAAAGAGATCACTTTGCCATGGACCATTATTTTCGACAGCAACGAATTATTATTTTACTTCATGCATTAAAAGTTTTTATGGAAAATGAAAAAAATTGAGAAGCCCAAGAAACAATATTAAATACTTACCATCTTTTGGCTTTCGCTCAAATGACAACAAATTCAACTATTCCGTCATTATAGTTGGTGAAATCAGCGAATGGAGTACTAGAAACTACCGAAGTTGATGCTTCACTAGAATTTCGATAATCAGTAAAATCTGTTACTTTCTTTTAGATAGATGCTTTTTGTTTTTAATTTTTTTTGTTTTTATTTTTTAATTTTTGACGATGATTGATCGTAATAAATGAGCACTAGTACAATCACTCACTAATCACATTAAAATTGATACTTGAGAAGATTACAATTATGTCATAAATTGCATATTCAAATTTTCGGCAAAAAATTTTTTGTAATTATAATTATGCTTGAGCACTATTACGATCACTTGCTAATCACATTGAGATTGACGCTTGGGAGCGACCTAATTGTGGTAATAACCTTGTTCAAAGATCTAGTTAATTATACGGATAAGATTTTACATGTTAATTCTAGACAACGCTAACCTGAATAAAATATTTGATAACTATTCAATTTAATTTAATTATTTTTAATTTGCATATATGACCTTAATGACCTCTCAAAGATAATAAAAGTTGATTATATTAATATAATAAAAATAATAGCAAAAAAAAAAGTTTTTACGGCATTTAATACTGTAACAAACCCACAAAAATTGGCCCTCCCATAATTTGACCAATCGAATTTCAAGATCTTAAAAATCTAAACCGAATCCAAAAACAAACAAGAATAGCAATTTTAATTGTGAATTCTCTTTCTGCACCCTAATTAAAATGTTTCTTGATTAAATTTTTATGGCTCGGATAATGCGATGGCTTTAACAATTACGATATTGATATACATGCTGCACAAACTACAAATCTTTAAAATCCCACTCAAACCCAAATCCCATGTGGAAAAATCCCAAATCCCA